GTAGAGATGGATAACTAATAGTATTTAAAAGGACAGCAGCTGGACATTTTTGTTCTGATTGAACTTTATGGTAAATACTTCACTTAAATAGAAAGAACAGTCTTAACTTACATTAGTCCCAAAAGTGATCTTGTTTTAAAAGAATGCATCAAGTACTCCAGCAAGGGCAGAAGTGGAGGAAAACTGATGATTTTTCAGGAATTATGTTTGAAGACAGATGAATGATAAGCACTGCTTTGTGAACTGATTATAACAAGATTATAATTCCATAATTAATTAACCAGAGGAAAAATATTCTGTAATTCTTACCAATGTTAAAAAAAATACCATTTAAATGGACTATATTGCTTGGATATAAACATGAGCAACTTTTTTCTGAATGCATCTCCTCAGGCAAGGGAAACAAAAGCAAAAATGAACACGTGGAACTCCATCAAGTTAAAAAGCTCTGTACAGCAAAGGACACCATCAATAGAACAAAAAGGCATCCTACAGTATAGGACAATATATTCTTAAATGACATATCCGACAATGGCTTAACATCCAAAATATATAAAGAACTCACACACCTCAACAACCAAAAAGCAAATAACCTGATTAAAAAATGGGCGGAGGATATGAACAGACACTTCTCCAAAGAAGAAATTCAGATGGCCAACAGGCACATGAAAAGATGCTCCACATCACTAATTATCACGGAAATGCAAATTAAAACCACAATGAGATATCACCTCACACCAGTTATGATGGCCAACATCTAAAAGACTAGTAACAACAAATGCTGGCGAGGATGCAGAGAAAGGGGAACCCTCCTACACTGCTGGTGGGAATGTAAACAAGTTTAACCATCTTGTTGAAAGCAGTATGGAGGTTCCTCAAAAAACTAAAAATAGAAATACCATTTGACCAGGGAATTCCACTCCTAGGAATTTACCTAAAGAATACAACTTCTCAGATTCAAAAGGACATATGCACCCCTAAGTTTATTGCAGCACTATTTACAATAGTCAAGATATGGAAGCAACCTAAGTTTCCATCAGTAGATGAATTGATAAAGAAGATGTGGTACATAGATACAATGAAATACTATTCAGCCATAAGAAACAAATTCTACCATTTGCAACAACATGGATGGAGCTGGTGGATATTATGCTCAGTGAAATAAGCCAGGCGGATAAAGACAAATACCAAATGATTTCCCTCATTTGTGGAGTATAACAACAAAGCAAAACTGAAAGATCAAAACAGCAGCAGACTCACAGACTCCAACAAGGGACTAGCAGTTACCAAAGGGGAGGGGTGGAGGAGGGTGGGTGGGGAGGCAGAGAGAAGGGAATTGAGGGGTATTACGATTAGTATACATGGTGTGGGGGGGTCATGGGGAAGACAGTGTAGCACAGAGAAGACAAGCAGTGACTCTGTGCCATCTTACTACACTGACGGACAGTGACTTCAATGGGGTGTGTGGGGGCACTCGATAATATGGGTGAATGTAGTAACCACATTTTCATGTGAAACCTTCATAGAGTGTATATCAATGATACCTTAATAAAAAAATAAATTCAATAAATGGACTACATTGTACTGCATTAGGAAAAAGGAAGAGAGAATATTGTACCACTGAGAAAAAATTACCCTTTGGAAACTGACACACACACACACACACACACAATACACTAACTTCCACACCATCTATCAAAACTAAATGAAATTTTCAAGAGCTTATAGGAGGAAATGAATTAATCTTAATTATACACACACACATATACACATAAAGTAAATGGCTTATATAAAAATTATATTATATACTATATATATTACATGTATTATAAATTACATAAAGTAAATGGTTTGATAAGCTTTATATAAAGGCAGCACTTGACTTACATGTAAGAAGGATGCACCTTTAAAAGAAGTTAGATAGGTAGAAAAAAAGATCTTAGGTTGTATTTTGTTAATACTAAACATTTTGTACAACATTCCACCCATTTTTTAAAAATACTGTTTGGCTGCTTTTATTCCCCCAAATTTGAGAACATGGATACAAAGACATACTTCACTGTTATACAAGCACCAACATAACTTTAGGAGAATGTTGACTGCTATCCTGTCTCAGCATTGGTGAGACAATGAGCGCTGGTGGGGACTGTGGTGAACTGGAGAGCTTGTGTGGTCCATGTAAGGTGTCAGTTGCAACTCGCTCCAGCTAATTATTAACACGGAAAAATGAAGGCCTAGTTTGGTCTTTTGTCAAAGGAGCTAGAAATTTTTACTTGGAATTTTTCAAATTTCTGACTAACAAAATGTTTGAACACAGCCTGAAGACTGTGAGTCACCAGTATGATTCATGACGGTCCCGTTTTGCCAGGATGGTGCCCTATTTTCATCTGTGACTGGTTGGTGGAGAATGGTGCCCTGAAAGCACAAAGTCCTGCTGCCTTTTCCAAAGAAGTAATTTTTCTCGGTTACAGGGTATCTGCATGCTCAACTTCACCTCCTAATGCCAAATTCTGTTATCTAAAGCATTCCTTAGGTCCTAATTCCATCCAGTTGACTGCCTTTGTGGCCTTGTTCAACCAGTGACTTCCTATCTCAGATATGCAATCCTTTACTGTTGGCTCTATCATCTCTGTATACAAAATTGATCCTATTTTCCTCTCCCACTAAAACATTTCTACTCTTAACTATAAAAACCGCCCTGAACTCAGCTGCTATCTTTCTGTCACTGTCCATGCTGCAGTCCTGACACCTTGCAGTTTGATTTGCAGTAAAGTGGTTTCTCAGATGTTAATGGTGACTCCAGATAACAATACAGCTGTTACCAGATCCAGTGGCATTTATCAGAATACACTATCTTCGTGCTCTCTAAAGAAACCCATCTTGCTAATCACCTTTGCTTTTGTACTTTTGGTTATATCTACTGATTAAATATATTACAAAACTCTTATTACATGCTGTAAGAGATATATAGATTTTAAAAATCTGTATTTTGTTCTTTGGATAAATTTTACATAAAGGATGATGTGAATGTACAAATCATGGAAAACATTAGTAAATGTGCAGATTATTTAGCCTGTCACCAAAGATCTCACATTAAGTGCCACATAAATTTTGAGGCGTATCATCTACAGATCACCCAAACCAAAATATGCCTTGTGCTCTTCCAGGCCCCTCCCTGCAGGCTACTGCTCTTACCCTCAGCCTCTGCTCTCACTCACTTCCTCCCAACCTCTGACGCCCAGGGCTAATGTCATCTCTGCAGGGCTGAGTCCCTCTCTGATTATGGTGGTCATCCTTCCTCTGAATTAGAGCATTCTGTGTGACACTCATCAGGTACTGCTTTATGTTAATCACTGGATGGATGCGCACTTACTGTCTAATTGACTGAGTAAAAGTCCTTAGAGTCAGTGAGAGTAGGTATCCCTCTTTCTGTTTTTGAGAGCAGTATAGTACAGGCTTCACACAGAAGAGGCACCCCACCTCCCTGCATCCCCCCATATCCAAGCTCTCGGGTAGCCTCCACCAACCGTGACTCAGGTGTGACAGGGAGACTTGTTTAGGCCAACAGGATGTTCACAGATGTGAGGCAAGCAGACTCCTCACTAGCACTTGCACATTGCAGGTGGCTTTTCCTGCTGCTCCCTGGAGCCCTTGACCACCATATGTGATGGCTTACAGGAGGGTGAAAAACGACAGGGAACAGAAGGAGGTTCACCCAGGTGAGCACCCCCTCCCACCCTGATCCCCCCTACACCCCCCCAAGCCAAACCATCAGGCTGCAAAGATTCATCCAGTTCACACAGCCCAGAACCACCACCCTGCTGCCCATGGAACCAGAAGAACCAGGGCTTGCTGCTTGGAGCCACTGAGGTTTCCAAGGGCACAAAGGGGGTGTTAATCAGTAAAAGAGTATCTGATATACTGTGTTATTGTGAAACGAATGAAGAATTAATGAAGCTTTCATCTCTCTCTGATCATTCTTTTAGTAAGTTATGGTTTATCTAGCCTAAAAATTGGCATACTTTCTATTTCTATAAGGGATTCTTGTTTTGTGGAATGAAAATACAGAAGACAGCAAGGTACAGGCATTCTATCTGTACACACATGGATTTGAAATCAGGATGCACCACTCATTATCTTTATATCCTTAGGTTAAACCGTGCCAGCCTCAGTCTCCATTTTGTAGTAGATAAAACATCACCAATCTCACAGTATTAGAGGTAATATGTATTAAATAGCAAATATAATTGCTGGCATATTTCTTCAATAATCAAGAGATGGTATCACACACATAAATATTAATCTGAAAAAAATGGAGGTTGAAGCAGTTACCGCTAAAACCTTGTTTCCACACTATTCCTTCTTGCTACTTAAAGCGGGGAACCTGTCAGTGTGCCAATACGGGACAAGGCAGGCTGAAGTGAGATGTAGGTGAGGATAATTCTGATGCCTATAACAATTTCTAGGTATCTTGGCTTTTGTTTATAACATCCCTTAGCATCTCCAAATGGGAAATTTTCTTCTTCTAATATAAAGTAGCAAGTTAATCATAAAGCTTAATTATATTTGGGGCTGTTCAGTCAACAGCTATTTTCAGAGGTGTTATGGGAAATAATAAATCATTAGAAACCAGAAAGTTATTTTGGAAGGAGTAAGTTATTGAGAAGCTTTGGATAATTCACACCTCACCTGACAATTTGGAAAAGTCCAGATACTGCTAATTGATTAAAATTGCTTAGCACAAATTCCTTTCATCCTCTATCAAAGAATGTACAATGGTCTACAAAAAAATGCATCTGGAAAGATGCTTGAGTAATAACCAAAGCACACTACAGATTCCTTGGTCCAACCCACTGAGCCTGTTTAATATAAAGGCTCATGCTGCCTCCCACTGCATATCAGAGCATGCTAATGAAAATATGCCAATTTAAGATGAAACAACATAGTGGTTTTTGAAGAAAGCAACAGAAAGTAATCCTTTTCCGTGACCAGTCGCTCACCTATATGGGCCTCACTGTTGTTAGCAGCACATTCAGCATCTTCTGGATGGAGAGTAAGAGCACACAGAACAAAAGCCAAGAAATAAAGCAGAACAGTTAGAAGCCCAGCCACAGATGCAAAAAATAAATTACTTAAAACAATTATGTGAAGCACAGCATAGAACAGCCTTCATAATGCCACTCTTAAACATAAAACGTTTTGTTTTATATTTAAGTTTAATGTAGTATTTTGAAACATCATGCAATTCTTTTTTTTTTCAACTTTCTTCAGAGGTTCGTTGGTGCAGTTCCAACCAAGAAAATTACAGAAAAAAAACTTTCCTGAGACATTTACACTTTCCTGGTGTAAGAAAATAAATTGATTTTTGCAAACCAGGCGCTTTGATAATACGTAAACATAGCACTTGTTGTGGCTCACTGGATTAGACAGAAAGGCTGGGATTAAGATAGGCTCTTTCTTTTGATAGGAAGAAATACTGTGTTGGGAAGGAATAAAGGCGTAATGTTTCCATTTTTATTTCATTTTTAAAAAATGAACAGATGACATTTAAAAGTAAACAATGTGTTATAATTTCTAGTAATTAAATGAATATGGGGCTCTGCATATTATAAAGACTTAATTGTCCTAGGGGAGATCTTATTGTTTTAGGCCTCTAATCTTCCCATAAATATACTCCTGGAACTGAGAGTGCACCTTGCACAGAAACCAAACAGTCGAGAAGATTATCCCCACATCCTTATGTTAAATTAAATGTGTCAATATATTTGAGTAAAACACTGTTTTCTTTGTTCTCTTTTATTTGAGACTATCAATAGACATGAAAACATAATATATTATTTCAGATTACTTTCTGTATTTCTACTTCATGAAACAAAACAAGTACATTTCTTCCTAAAACAAAATCTAACTCTGATTTTTGGTACTGCAACGTCAAGATGGAAGTTTGGATGTGCAATCATCTTAGGAACTGCTTGCTATATTCAATATAATCCTACGCATATGTGCACTAAGTAACATTACTAGGCTACGCAGGGAAACTTATACATGTACCTTTAAATTCCTCTGAGAAGCACAAAGAAAATGAGAAAGGAAATGATTAAATGTATAGAAAACACAATTAAAGTAGGAAGATGTTGCACCCAAGGGAAAAAAAAAATCCACCTACCACACTCAACTGTTTCCTCATCTTAGAAGAGCCAAAAGAAAAAAAAATTATAAACTGTAATATTTCAAAATTATTAGTCAAGAAATAGAATTTATGAAAAACTGTACTTTAGTCTGCACTCGGTCTTGGCCTAAAAACAATGTATATACTTAAGCAGTAAAAGCAAAAGACTTCAAATAGCTTACTAAATACTCAGGTGGGAAAAATAATTAGAAAAAAACTGCCAGTCTTTTTTCAAAGTACCTTCAGTAAGGGTATTTTTATAGAACAGTTCTGTCATAAACTAATCTGTCCAACGCTGAGGATATTTCATGATAAAAATATCACAAAGAAGAAAACATTTTAGAAACAACTAATTTTTTGTCCCTAAAAATGTCTAACTATCCTATAAATTTAACAACAGCCTAACAATTATCAACTTATTACATATATGAAATGAGTCCAACAGAACCCTTTCTTTTCATTCTAAATACATTATTTGATGAAAGGTATTTCAAAAGTAACCCTAAAATTCTTAAGTAACTAATAGGAGAGCAATTTAAGACTCCAGTTTGATTTAGGAGACTCATCTTCAGTTAAAGGTGGGACAGTACTGGCAATTTACCAGAAGCAAACCTAACAGTGAGCTGACTTGACAAAAGGAACAGGGCTGATCAGAACAGTTCTCTGCTCGCTTCTCTCTCCAAACTTCAGAACGGCAGTCAAAGAAATCCCAGGGGAGGAACTGTGCACCACTGTATTTTTACTTTTCAAATACCTATACTGTACAGGTTCTACTTGAACAGTATTAGCAAAAATTGTAAGTAAATCATGATTATTTAGCCTCATATTAATAGCACTGTGAGTTTATTTATACTCATTTCTTTCTTTACAGCTCTGAAATACCACGTGCATCTAAAAGAAATTCTTAGAAAACAAACAATAAACTCTGTGATATGGGTTAGCCAAGCCAAGCAACTAGGGATGGTGGAAATAAAACGAGCAGGTTTAAGCTTGATCAATCTGCAGTCTTGGACACTCTGCCATCAAGTCGATTATTAAACTGAGATATATTTTCTGACAGGAGCAACAGGATAGACTGTTGTGCCCGTGATTAGAGAACCAGTGTCATGTAACCAGATATTAAAAGCAATGTCTCTCTCACACACATACACACTCCAAAAATTAAAATATCAAAGTTAACCACAATAAAAATAAACATCTCTAATTTACATCACATATATTTCATATTCTAATAAAAGATGGTGAACTCGCTGCATAAATTCTTAAGAGTACTTTCAGCATGCAACCCTTAAGTAGGAAGAGAGAGAGAACTTTTAGCATAATACACACACATATTTATTCAATAGCAAGTATCATGCTTAACAGACATCCAGTAGGAAAAGAAAAGCAACACATTTCCTTACACTTAGCAAGTCTGAACAAAAAGGAAAATACATAAAAGGTTGATCTCATAAGAACTGGGATAACTGCATAATTCTTACTATAGTAAGACACTGTTCTATGCATATTAAATGCAAAAATAAATTTAATTCACCACTTTATGAAGCCAAAACTACTATCCCCATTTTACAGATGGGAAATCAAAGAAATGAAGCATTCCAAGTGGCAAAAGTGGGATTCCGACCCACGCAGTCTGGCTCAGAGTCCAAGTTCTTAACTACTATGCTATACCACCACACTGAAATGATGCTTTACTCACTCAAACTTCAGGCTGGAAGTACCAGTTAGGGGAGAGGTCAAAGGAAGTAAGTTGAGTTTCCTCTCTATGGCCACCAGTCCCTCACAGCGGCCTCACGCCCGCTCCCCTGAAGCTTCAATCTTGCAAGCAGGTTTCTCCTGACACAAGAGCCAGGAGGCCTTCTCCCTCCTAAGCCTTACCAGGGGGCCGGTCTCTGCATCTTCAAGCGGTGAGTAGCAGGATGGGAAAATCATAAAACTCACAGAGGCAAGGCCAGCAAGGTCACAGAGTAACTCAGCCATCTACAGTGAATGACTGGAAGGCTCCCATGAGGGGCAGTGATAAGCTCAGCACAGGAGGAATGCCTCCATGGGGCCGGCTGTCACAAGTGGGACATGTCTGATGCTCTTGGCAAGTTCAGGGTTGTGTCCATATTGGTGTGACATTATTCACAGGGCAGTTAAACCCTGGAACCACTTGCTTATACTCCCCTGCACCCCATGCTGCGGTCTCCTCTACCAGTGTGCGATAGCCAGTGATCGCAGAGCAGACCCCTGTCAGGCAGCTCTTTCTTACCTGCATGGCACTGGGTCCCTGGAACAGAAGGCAAGAGATGGTATGGCTTACGGACCTTCACACAGAACAAGCCAAAAGCACACACACCACTAGTGTTTTAGAAGCAACATCTTTATATAAATTAGGAGAACACAGTTCACTGAGACAAAAACTGAGCAGGTACAATTAGGCCTTCACCTCAACCACTTCATGATGAAAATAGCCACATGTGCAACTCATAGCTTAGTTTATCTGCACCTCTTTCACATAGACTCTGAATTTTGGTGTCTCCCTAAGAGCCAGTAAAAATTAGGGGGGAAAAATACCTTCAGTATTTTTTAAAACCCCTTATGTTTCTGTTACACAAAATCCCACCAATATTAAGAAAATGTGTGATAAAGTTTTAAACATACACATTTTAATGTAAGAACATATGAAATCTATTTGTTAATTTCTGAATTAACTTTTTTTGTATGAAACACACTAAATAAACATTATTTAAGACTCCAGGAGGCAGATGCTTACTTACTTGAAAAGCTGTACTACAAGAACCTGTAATGTTGTATCTGTTATTCTCAACTGTTTGGTCTTCCAAAATATTGGTCCCATGTAGAATAAACTCATTCAACTACTCCATGTTTAAATCCTGCTCATGGATTAAAATCTTTAGCTCACAAAATGCCTGTCTTTGAATGAACGTGGTCACACCCTATTTGAACAGGCACCCTTTTTGGCTGCAGTTAAACTTTTTTTCCCCCCAAATGATAACAATTACAGTTGGTTAAACAAACACTAAACTATTTTGTATTTTTTACCTTCTAATCTTTAAAAGGTCAATAAGTTGTACATTTTGGGTTTTTTTATTACGAGAATTCTGTAAGAGTTATTTTGTAAAAGAAAAGGTATTATGCAATTAGCAGCATTAGAAATTTTCAGGTATTTATAACTTTCGTAACTACAAAAAGAAACTAATAAGCATTGTAATAAATATCATATCTGAATATTCTGCTATAAAGTACACTATATGAATAAAGACCCTTTTCTGAATACCACATAGGCTGGATTTAAATATAAATTACATCCTACTTAAAGTTAATGTTTATGTTATTAAGAAGACAATTCTTATATGCTGAGATTTCAATAGAAAGAGAGTAACAATATTTCAAATAATCAAAGAAATTCCTATTTCTCTTTAAAGGTTAGGTGATATCATACTGCTTTAAAATGCAACTGAACTATAGAAATAAGCTTTTGGCAGAAAATCAGAGTACTCTGAATTACACTGACACAAGAATTGCAACATGCCAAGAGTCTGTCATGAAAACTACTCCTATAATGTTACTTGAGACATAAGATACACTCTTACTTTCAATTAACCTGTATCTTTCATGTAATTGTCTAAAAGTTGTCATATCAAAGAAAACCTATCACACTTCTAGGTTAGCTGGTGAGGTAAACTATTTTGTTTGGGAAACCTGTTTTCTGAATGTGTGTTAGATATGCCAAGACTCTTAAAGGGAGGAAATAACCAGGCATCAAAGATGCCCACCACCCACACTTAGAGTTTTGCATAAGGGCGCTGCTTTTAAAGCCTGAAGAGGTCGGTATTATCACGGCTCCTGATTTTTTACAAGGATCAGAGCTCTAACACTATAAATGCAAAGACAAGACTGGGATTCTCTGTTCATTTTTGACTGCTATGTAGACATTAACTGGGCCCTTCTAGTGCCAGAGCCATCTTCCATGAACTTTTCCTCCATGGAAATGTTAGTTATGGTGATATACTATGAATCAAATAAAGAGCAAAATCACAGTAATATAAACAGTCACTTTGTGAAAAAAGTTAACTGGCTAATTTGATACTATGACCTGACTAAAGTCATTATTCTAAATTCACTGCTTAACAATATCTTCCTAGGTTTTGAGTGCACTTGTAAATTTAGTGCAGAAACTTTTTATCAATGGTATTTTTTTTGTAAGTATATAAACACCAACATGATAGCATGATTCTTTTGGAAGTTTTACATTAAATCAGAAAGTTTTCTTAAAGCGTATTTTATGAATTATAACTCAGTCATAAAAGTAAAAGATTTTATATCAACTTTGTTTTTCTTCATAGCATTATTCTATAACTTAGCAAAGGGCACAGTAATATAAGTGTCCTGTTCCAAAAATCGAAGGACCAAATGTTGAAGCCCAGGAGTCTTGAGTCAGATGGACTTTACCATGATATAGTTATATACAGAATCACTATCAAACACACAACAAAACAAACTGCTTTTAAATGCCTTTCAAAATGATCAACCAGCACAATGATTTTTGTGTAACTTTTAAGTCCAGGGGTTTATGAGACAATATTCAAAGAAATTTCAAACAAAATTTCAATTCTTTGAAAAAAAGATGCTAGCTTTCTATTTAACTTTCATAGAAATCTACTGTCTTTCTGAACAAGAAGAAGGCCATATTTACTATACACCTGTGATTTAATCTGGTAATACTAACTGGATTTATTTTTACTTAAAAATAAAGAATATCTACATAAGAGAACAAACAATGCATCTCTCAGTGAATCAAAATCTAGCTTGAAGAGCAAAAAAAAGGAAGGAGGAAGAAAGAAAATATGAAAGAAAAGCCAGGAAAATTCCTAAATGGTGTTTAAGGGGCAGAAAATGCAAAACCAAAGCAAAATGAGAAAGTAAACTATGCCGAAAGAGACATTTCAGTAAAGACAAATACTGGATTAAACACTCCTCAGATGCAAATACTGAAGTATTAACGTGTAAAAGAAATAAAGCAAATCAACAGACAGCCTCCATTATACTTCATGCTTCTATACACACACACCTTCACATTCACAAACATTTATACTGAAACTAGTTTCAAGAGAACTATTTTAAAAAGACAATCTATCCAGTTTGACAATTCTTTAAAGGAAGCATATATACTTATCAAATTATTTAATTAAATGAAAATTCATAATTATATCACACTGTACATTTCTAAGTTGCCTAAGATTCAAACAAATTTGAGTATGGATTCAGTTTTGAGTAGAATCACACTTATTTCCTTTTCAAGTTGTACACATTTGATCCCACATGTACCAAATGCCTTAGAAACATGCAGGCCCCAAATTAAACTAGCCCTCAAAGAGCAAGTCAGGTGGATGCCTCCAAGTTCCCTTCAGCTGGGTGAGCCAGCAGGGGAAATTCCTCCCGTTTAAAGACAATGCGACATTCTCGTTAACCTTTAAGCTTCCTGATGTCACAATACACGTGGCATTCTATGGCATGTGTTTTTTAGCTTCTGCCCAGATTTAAGGGAGCAAGAACAAGCAGGCTTTTGAATCAATGCCCCACTTGAAGTATCTGCTTGCTTATGAGATTTATACTTGCCTGTAGTTTGGCTCTCTTATAATGTAATTCCTGGGCTATATGCTTCTACAAACTGAGAGAAATAACAGGAGATGTGAAAAATGCAACAATACTAAAAACAGATGTTGGTGTAAAATTCCAGGACGATTTATTTGCTCATTTCTCCTTTTAATGTACAATTTTGATGCAGAAAACAAAGGGCTTTTTTTTTACTCCTAAAATACCTAGGACCATGAACCATCTAGAGATGAAGTAGGAAATTTATGGGGTGGGGTCTTGAGAGAGATGGAGGGCAAAGAGATGCTGAGAGAAAGGTAGATTGAAAGAAAAAAATATATGCATCTAAATGCACACTGTTCTTTTTTTCAGTAATCTTACATCACCCGTTTTCTTACTCTTATTTTCTTTTCATCTACCTTTTAATTAACTCCAAACAGGTTAAAGGCCAGAGTTACTATGATCTCTAGATAACAAGGAAAGCAGAGGTTGTTGTTTACTCGGGCCAACTGTTTCTGTGTCCAGAAAGTGATGGATTTTTTCCCCTAATCTTTACCAAGAAATGTACCTTACCCAAACCTGCTGGCTTTGCAGAAATGAAAGAGTTGCATTTTAGGTTACATTTATTAAATACCTACACTTGGAAATAAAAGAGTAACACTTTAGTTATTAAAGCATGAGACATGGGCTTATTATAAACAACTGCATCCTTCAAAAGATTCACTTTAATATTCTGCCGAGTTTCTTATTTGTTTGGTTCTTGTGGAATGATGATCCGAAAGTTATCACAAGGTAATATGACCTTTTATTCTACCACAAACCCCTGCTTTAATAGTCAAAAATAAACGGCAAGATTTGGTTACTCTGCATTCTTATTAATAAACTTACATGATTTCCTGTTGGAAACTTTCAGGGGCTGAACTAATATTTCTGGTTGTCTCAGAGCCAATCTCCTGGGGAAAAGAAGGTCAATATGGCTATCAATTTTCAGTACAGATCCAAGATTAATAAAACACCAAAATATTAAAAGTCTTAAGAAAAAAATGGAAAGTTCGGGAGAAAAATGAACACAATGTCATGTATTTAACTTTAAAAATAAATCCTCTTTTGGATTTTTATAAATGATCCCCTCTCCAAAATCACTCTTTTTTTCCCATCTTTTACATCAATATCATTTCAGACATTAATGTGCTATTTTCCATTTGCTTCATAACAAAAACCAAATATGACTTGGTGCTGTAATATTATTTTTGATCATTACTCATACTTTGTTAGACAAAACAGAAACCAAACCTGGGGGATAAAGGATTCTAAGGCAAGGTTTTAGTGATTATTTTATCACAGCTAGGGTGGAATGATATTTTGCAGAGAACAAAAGGTCAGTTGAAGGGAGTCCATTACTATGTGCCAGTAGCTCACCTTTCCTGGAAATGCTTTGAGGGAATCAAGCCTGCTCTGGGATTGGCAGCACCTTCATGCTTTGCTTGCCACCATGTTGCATCATCTTGACTCATAATCTGCAGAATATCTCCTTTTTTGAAAGAAAGCCCAGCTTCCTTACATGGAATCGCTTTGTCCTCATTAGGGTCATAGTCAAAGAGGGCTTTGATAAACATCTGGAAGAAAGTTTCATTTAAAATGAAGAAATAGAAAACATAAATATGAATAGCCAACATTCCTCTAAATCTGATTTAAGAATAATATTTAAAAAAATAGAATATTAAGATAAGCCTGTTGTGACAAAGAGATGTATGAGATACAAAAACAGCTGTTCTCCCCACATACAGGTCTTTGGGGAACGATTACCTTGCCTTCTTTAGATGCTGTCTCCTCTTTGATACTGGGAATAACCTTAAATGTAATTGCTCCCTGAGACTGAGCCTGGTGTCAGAGGAAAGAAAGAGTTGTAAGAAACTTCAGGAGCCAAGCAGAAAAAAGGTCAAACAGATAGAAAACTAAATGATTCCAAAAACTTATAAGGTTGGGGTTTCTACTCTTAGATGGACCAAACTGGGGAGAGCATTTTCAGAGAAATTTCTGTAATGTAAAAAAGCATTAAAGTTTGTCTTATCGAAACATGGAACATGCATAATGCTTTACACAGGTAATATTAAATGGCAAGAATAGATATGTGCAAGGTTCAGACTATTACATTTAAGTATCAGTATCCATGTTTTTAGGGACAAAATACCTATATTGCCAGACATCAGTTATAAATACATGATTCAATTAGCTCCAATAGTCATCAGAAAAATAATGAAGACCATTCATTTCTATTATATTCTGGCTAGTGAGTAAAGTACCAAATGAAACAGATTAATTAAAAGATAAAAAGATTTATACCTATTCTGATTTAATTAAAACAAGCCATAACAATACCTACAATGCTTTGCTGACTATCTCAGACAAGAGTAGGGCTCCCTTAAATACATTCTCATGTCATTCTCTATCTTTCTCTCCTTTAGCAGTGCTTAAATATTTATATTTGATTTGTTGGGATTTATTTTTGTGTATGGTATAAAATAAGGACTGACTTTATTTTTTCTAACCGAATCATCAATTAATCCAATACCATTTAGGAAAAGATTTCATTCCTTTCCAACTGATTTAAAATACCGTCTCAATAAGACTAAGTTTTCATACATACTGAGGTCTGTTTTGAGATACTCTTTTTGTTTCTGTAGGTTTGTAATATGTTTTCATACATTACAGGGCAGTCTCCCTTCATTTTATCCTTACAAATGAACTTGAGAATTAAGTGTCAAAGCCTACAATAATTTCATTCTGTTTTAGATTTCATAAGACATCTAAATTAGTTTCTATTTTATATACCTAGAAAGCATAGCCTATAGTCTGGCTATGTCGATGGGAGAAGGAGAAAGATCACTAACAACAAAGAAGATGCCATCTATTAAGTACCTAATTTGGGACAGGCCCTGTAATAAACTCTTTACATATACTTTTAGTTCATCTCATCCTCCAAACACTTCAGTGAGATATATTACCTCTTCTTATTCACATTTTGTAAATGAAAACACTGAGGCAACAAAAAGATTAAGGTATTTTCCAAGGACATTTAGGAATTATGTAATGAAGCTGGGATTGGAACTCTGGACCACTAAATCCAAATTCAGTATCATACCCAAGGCTGAAATATAGTGTTTCAATTTCATTTTTATTGCAAGTGCAACATAAATTTTCAGCTTACCAAAATCTGAATGACTTCCTCAGGCCTTTTGTCCTCAACTGGTATCCCATTCACTTCCCTAAGCTCATCACCAACATGAATAAGACCTAAGAAATAGCAAGTTTAGTAAATTGGCAGTGTTAGCTCCAAAAGAAGCTGTACTTTGTGATGGTGTCTATATTTAAAGCACTGTTTGGTTCCTTAATAAATCAGGGGTTTGAGAAGGAGACCTTCATGCTTCACAGGTTTCTGAATCTCTGCCTTTATAGAGCAGTGAATCAAAGACTGCGACATAACCATGCTGGCAAAGAAACGACAATGGCATCTTGGTCTTTGTCTAGAAATGCAGATCATTTTCATCATATAAAAGAACTTTTACTTTTTTAAGGCTGCACTCTTTAAGCAGTACTTTTCAAGTCAGAAACACTGAGGCAAGTTTTCATGTCTCTTTGCAAGTTGATATAGACTAAGATCATGAAGTAGAGTGAGATATATCATTTATTTAAATCAGTTCTCATTTTTCAACCCAGAGCAGAGTATCTTACTTGTTCAGATGTATTATATCAAGACTGCTAGCCTCTTAATTATACACTGGAACTATCACACATAAGATGCCACAGGACTTGTCACAAGCTCTTACCACTTCTGTCTGCGGCTCCTCCTCTCATGATCCGAGCCACAATGATTGCCCCAGTCTGTTCGTCTTTCTTAATGGTGGCTCCCTTTGAAGAAAAGAAAGAAAAAAAGCACTTCAGTGTAAATGTGTGGGAAGGGGGCCAAGAATACAGATACTCACTTTTTGAAAAGAGTCAGCAGGTAAAGGATCTTCTACCATGCCTATCACCTAAGGTTTTCAACACAAGTTAAAGATTTTTGGAACCTTTCACCTCTTCAGCCCTATGAAAAGTACAATTATTTTCTTTCCATTATAATACCTTGTATTTGAATATTATTTGTTTTTACCCTTTATACCATTTCCTCATTTCATTTTAGTTTTATATTATCCCCATGAAGAAGGTAGATTATGGAGAGAAGGTTAAATGAATAGAAAATCATTATGTAAGTTAGAAAACTAAAACCCAGGTCATCTGACTTTTAGTTCAATGATCCTTCTACAACTGTATTACTGTAAAGGAACTCAGCAATAACAAGGGAAGAGAAAAAATGAAAGCCCCCGAATTAGTTATATTTCTTGCCTAAGGTTACAATAAACTAATGGAAGGAAAATCTCTCCAAGGTCTTCATGTACTAGAACTGTACCTAGTAAAAATCAAACTAACATTCTGGCTTCAGGAAACAATTTCAAAAAGAATCCAGAAATTCTTCATTTATGGATGTTCAGAAGCAAATTATCTGAATGCTGCTTCATAAGAACATCAGGCACAAATCGTTATTTTGAACACTTTTTCATGACTTTCTTTCTAAGAAACTGGTATTGGTTTAGAGAAGCCATTCTACATTGCACCACACAGCTAAAAAGATGCATGTTAAGTGGTGGCAGAATTCACCCCAAGAAAAAAGTGAAATTTTTCTCACATTTGTCAATAAACATTTTATATCATTAAAAGAAAACAGATATATCAGTAAAGTTAGGAATCCATTTTTAATATTATGTATGTCAGCTTTCAGGTACATATCTAATAACAGTAAAATATCAGATAATTGAAGAATGATTTTGTGGCATTTTTCATCACCTATGTATGAATTCAAGGTGAAAGACTTGAATGACCAACTCCTGATGGTTATAAAAACCTTAGCTATAAAAACTTAGCCCCCACTTCCCAATTACTGGTATTTTCTTATTTTGTTTAAACACTTCACTTATAGCCAAAATGACTAGAAATGTAATATTCTTAATACAATTACTTAGTGTGATTAGATGAACTTTCATAGCCCTTTAACGATGTGTCTCAACTTCCTCACCAAAGTAACCTTATGGCAGAAGGTCCAGTAATCTAATTCAAAATTACTCTTCTATTTGTTTTTTGAGTGTTCTTCTCTCTGTATTTTTTCCTTTTTGTAAAAATGAGGTAAAATTGGTATATAAATTTATGTAAGTTTCAGGTGTACAACACTGTACTTTGACATCTATGTGCATAACAAAGCTACCATCTCTAAAAATGCAGTTACCACCCACCACGTACAATTGACTCCTTTTATCCATTTCACCAACCCCAACCCCTTTCCCTCTGGCAACCACCAATCTGTTCTCTGTATCTATAAGTGTCTCTGTTTCGCATTGTTTGTTCATTTATTTTGTTTTGTTTTGTTTTAGATTCCACATGAGTGAAATCAGACAAATCAGCATTTGTCTTTGACCTCAGTTCTGCCACGCATTAGCTGTGACCCTTTGGGTAAGTTGCTTCACGTTTTTAAATAGCAGTTTTCTGGTCTGTAAAAACACAGAAAAGTAATACCAACAATGAGGATTAAATACAATGTATGCAAAGTAGTTAACACCATGCCCAGCAACTATTGTACTATCAACTCAATTTCCTTTAAGAACATAGTGTCTTAATTAGAATAAATGAACTGCAACACATTTAAAATCAAGTGTTATATTATAAAACTTATTTTTCCTTTGAATGTAATTTCATAAAAATGTGGATATACTCTGTACTCATTTGGTATTGTTGTTGTAACACATGACCACAAATTGAGAGGCTTAAAACAACATAAATTTAGTATCTTAACAGTCTGGAGATAGGAATGCCAAAATGGGTACTATGGGCTAAATCAAGGTGTTCCAAGGACTGTGTTCCTTCTAGAAGGACTAGGAGAGAATCTGGCCCTTACCTATTCTAGTTTCTAGAAATGTCTGGCTTTCTTGGGCTCACTGCCACATCACTGCAACCTCTGTTTTCCTCAGGATAGCTCCTTCTCTTTCACTTTAATAAGAACCCTTGTGATTGCACTTGGGCCCACCAAATAATACCAGATAATCCCCTCATCTGAAGATCCCTCACCACTCATGAAAAATCCCTTTTGCCGTTTGAGGTAACATATTCACAAGTTCTGAAGATTTGGTCATTACATCATCAGGGCTGGTGAGTGGGGGCAGTATTCTGCCTACCCAAGATACCCTTCGATGTAATTCGACACTGCATAAATGTCTGGTGCTAAAATAAATGATCACATTTACATTTTGAAATACCAGACTCTTGATTAATTTCTCCCCATTACTTTAAATTAAATCAGCTTTCTAAAAAAGCCTTAAGCAATTTATTTTTAGTTGCATCATTTAATCTTAAATCAGCTGTGACTGGTACACATTATGCTTTCTTTTTAAAATGCCAACACATCACTTTAAAAAATTATTACTGTTTATAACCAATAGAATGCCTCCCATTTCATTTAGCTTCATTTTCACTTTTCTAAGTCATATTTTTTAGATGTGAATGTTCCATTTATCTTAAAGTTTGTGGACATAGAAGAAGTGTATTTTAAAGAGATGAGTAAATGGTGTGACTCCATCAGATCTGGCTTTATCATGATATCTGTTCATATATGAACACAAATTGTAGACCAAAACTCACCAGTGGTTCTCTATTTTTGACCAGACGGATGATTTTTACAGAATCTTCCTCATCATCAATATCATCAGGCATAGGAGGCAATACAGGATCATAATTCTTCTGAGCCACAGTGTCATGTACAGACAGCAAAGCCTATCAAAGTCAAAGGTTGGTAAGTATTGTTCAAATTTAAAACCCCAAACACATCAAACTGGTGTTACAATTTTGACGTAACAATGATAATCAGTCAACTACCTGAAAAGCAGCCTCTTATAAACGGCATATATAAAACATAGCATGCCTTCTACATACAGCAGAAGGCAGCTCTACTAAGGGGCCATCCCCATCCCCAAAGCCATTAATGTATGTTAAGAAACAACACACAAAGTCCTCTAACCTGTATACTGGGGCTCATCCTTACAAGGATGGTGGCCAGACACAGGGGTGGGGGCTTGGGGTTGTTACTTTTGAAAGGAGGAGAAAATGAGGCTTTAGGTACACTGTCAGTGAGCCAGCAGGAGTCTAAGAATTTTTTTTCCTACTGTTAGCAGAAAACAAAAAAGGAACTGATCAATATGACTGACTAGCTTTTGTTCTTTTGTTGTTTTCTCACTTTTAAATTTTTTGTGTAATAGGTGGCTGATATGCATATAAAAGAATAAAGTAAAAGTATTTCTAGTCATGACTGTTATGGTGGTAAACCACAAAACACTTCACATTGTCATTATAGACCAAAGATGAGAAAAACACTACAACCTTGACATGTCACTGCTCATTATTTTAGGTGAGGGGGCTTAGGATGCTTAACTAACTTGTTTCCAAATTAACAACACTACGATCCATAAATTACCCTAGCCAGATGATGAGACTTTATCCTTGAACTAAATCTCTCCTCTGCGCTATACTCTCAACATCCAGTCCATCCATAATCTGTTAAAATCTACTTCCAAAATAGATTCTAAAGTTTATCTTCTCTCAGGTCTAGAGCAGAGGTTGGAAAATTACGTCACTTGCTTTTGTAAATGAAGTTTTACTGTAACACAGCCATGCTCATCCATTTTTGTATTGTCTATGGCTGCTATCATTCTACAAGGGCAAATCTGAGTAGAAGCAACATACAGTTTTCACATAAAAAGTTGTTGGACCCCTGGTTTAGATAAATGATGTCGTCATGTTTCACCTTAGACAATTGCAAGAGCCTCTAAATGGACAAACTACATTCACCTTTGGCCCATTTTCAAATCTGTGATTCACTGTGTAGGCAGCATGATTATTTTAAAACTTTAATTAAATCACTTAACTGACTTGCTAATATTAACTCTTCCAACCCTGCCCATTGACCTTGACATGAAGATCAAACTCCGGAGCAGTTCCCAGTTTTGTGACCTCCCCCATTCTTGCCTTACACCACTCTGTACCTCATTCAGCTTAAATAACGCTTTCTCACAGAGGCCAGGTCAAAACATCCAATATGAAAGCAAATTCCTCATTATTTGACCTAATAGCACCTTCTTGCCTTCATGTATGCTCCCAGTTTATAACCATTATGGTTTTCATGTTAATATCTGCTATCTACTTAAATAGAAACCCTATGATGGCAAAGAAATGGTATCTATTTTTTAATGAAGCTTTTTTATTGACCATTAACATATATACAAAGCAGTACACAGTTCACAAGCAGAGAACAATTTTTAAAAATGAATATGCCCATGTAAGGCAGTAGGGAGAAGACAAGTAGTGACTCTGGCATCTTACCACTCTGATGGACAGTGACTGCAGTGGGGTGGGGGTGGGGGGTTCTCCTCTGCGCTATACTCTCAACATCCAGTCCATCCATAATCTGTTAAAATCTACTTCCAAAATAGATTCTAAAGTTTATCTTCTCTCAGGTCTAGAGCAGAGGTTGGAAAATTACGTCACTTGCTTTTGTAAATGAAGTTTTACTGTAACACAGCCATGCTCATCCATTTTTGTATTGTCTATGGCTGCTATCATTCTACAAGGGCAAATCTGAGTAGAAGCAACATACAGTTTTCACATAAAAAGTTGTTGGACCCCTGGTTTAGATAAATGATGTCGTCATGTTTCACCTTAGACAATTGCAAGAGCCTCTAAATGGACAAACTACATTCACCTTTGGCCCATTTTCAAATCTGTGATTCACTGTGTAGGCAGCATGATTATTTTAAAACTTTAATTAAATCACTTAACTGACTTGCTAATATTAACTCTTCCAACCCTGCCCATTGACCTTGACATGAAGATCAAACTCCGGAGCAGTTCCCAGTTTTGTGACCTCCCCCATTCTTGCCTTACACCACTCTGTACCTCATTCAGCTTAAATAACGCTTTCTCACAGAGGCCAGGTCAAAACATCCAATATGAAAGCAAATTCCTCATTATTTGACCTAATAGCACCTTCTTGCCTTCATGTATGCTCCCAGTTTATAACCATTATGGTTTTCATGTTAATATCTGCTATCTACTTAAATAGAAACCCTATGATGGCAAAGAAATGGTATCTATTTTTTAATGAAGCTTTTTTATTGACCATTAACATATATACAAAGCAGTACACAGTTCACAAGCAGAGAACAATTTTTAAAAATGAATATGCCCATGTAAGGCAGTCCAGTAGGGAGAAGACAAGTAGTGACTCTGGCATCTTACCACGCTGATGGACAGTGACTGCAGTGGGGTGGGGGTGGGGGGACTTGATAATATGGGTGAATATAGTAACCACAGTGTTGCTCATGTGAAACCTTCATAAGAGTGTGTATCAATGACACTTAAAAAAACAAAAGTGAATATAACCATGTAAACAACCCAAACAAGAAATATGTTCGCTGGGCTCCAGAAACCCCCACGTATGTCCTTTCTAGTCATCATGCCCTCCATTCCCCCACAGGTGATGGTTTTGCTTCTATTTTAATATTACATAAACAGAACTGTGATGTTTGCCTTTTCCCTGATGTTAACTTAGTGGGATTCACCCAAGTTGTTACTGGTCGCAGCAGCCACTCAGTTTGCACTGTTATGTAGCATTCCAACACACTAGTATTTATTTCACAGTACCTTATACCCCTCTGATTTTCAGGGACATTTAGGTTATTTTTAGTTTGTGGCTATTGTAAATAGTACTGCTCTGAATATTTATCTTTTGATGCACACACACATAATTTGGGTTAAGTATATTTAAGAGTAGAGTGTCTGGGTCATAGGTTAGAAACATATTCAACATTAGTAGATAGAGACAAAGTGGTTGTCCCAATTATAATCCCACTAACAGCTTGTGTGAGGTTCTAGTTGTATCAGATGATCTCCAACATTCAACATTATTAGTTTAAATTTGCCCATTCTGAGTGTGTAGCGGTATCTTTTTGTTGTTGAAATTTCATTTTTATTATAACTAATGGTATCTTCTGTGAGATGCCTGTTTAAGATCCTCAACATTTTTCTATTCCACCTGTCTTTTTCTTATTTATTTGTAAGAATTCTTTATAATATACTGGACCTAGGTCTTTGTTGGCTACAAATATATTTTCCCATTTGGTACTGGATGCCCTTTCACTTTCTTATTAGTCGTTTTTGATCAACAGAGGTTCCTAATTTTAATGAGTCCAATTAATGTTTTTTTCCTTTATGATTGGTACTTTTTGTATCTACTAAGAACTTCAAAGGGAAAGAATGAACAGCATTGTACTGATGAAATATCTGAAGAGCAAATTTTTGACAACTGATCAGAGACAGTCTGAAGACTCAGGAAGCTCGATATATCCTTCAGGAATCAGGAACAATATGAAGAAACCCATGCTTAGATACATCATAGTAACACTACAGAATGCCAAATGCAGAGATAAGGTCCTAAAAATATCAGAAAGAGAAATATAGACAATCAGAAAGGGGAAAAAACACTTCTTTCCAGCAGAAGTATATTGTTCAAGAATGAGGATGACAGCCAAGATGAAGTCAATAGGGATCCACTGGAGAAACAAAAATAATAATAACTTTGAAAAGAATGATGAAACAATTGTTTTCAAAGACACTGAACATCAGACAACAAAAGACAGGGATCACTGAGAGAAACAAATGTGAGCCCTGATTGCCCCAGCTTACGGCCTAGAGGGAGTTTTGTGACTGTGCCATAGGGAGAAGGTACCAGGCAGAACCCAGTGGTGTCCCTGGGTTGAGACAACAGATCTGGGAATCCAGGGAGGTCAAGGGGCTAAAGTTCTCAGGGGAGAATATGAGAGAGGAAAGAGCTGCCAGACACAAAGCTCTGGAGATCTGCAGGAAGTCCCCCTTGAGTCCTTAGCCAAGACATGTACACAAAAAACTACCAGAAAGGATTATAGCAGTGATTTTTAACTGAGGGTGATTTTACATCTCCCATCCCCCTACCCCCACCAGAAGTCCTTTGGCAATGTCTTGGGAACATTTTTGTTTTTCAGAACTTGGAAAATGTTACTGCCACCTAGTTCATTGAAGCCAGGGATGCTCCTAAATATCTGACAGCATTATAGGACAACATGCACACAACAAACAACCATCCAGACCCAAAATGCTAATTCCAAAGATGAGAAACCCTGCATTATAGGAAGCAATGCCCAAAGCTTGCAGAGGGCAGGATTAACTCCTGTTGCCACCAGTTAGAGGGGGAAAGTTCAGAATTTACAGGGCATTGAGAAGAATCAACAGAGGGGCATTATCGCAACAGTGGGAAATAATTGGTGACTAAACACTGCTAAGAAATCGCCTAACAAAGCTTAAAAGCAAGCCTCTGAAGGATCAAAGTGTTTCCAACTAACTTAAGTGTGTAAGAGAAAAAAACTCAATAATATTGTCTATAGAATATAAAAATATCTAGCATCAAAGTAAAACTCATAATTACTGGCTGTCAATCAAAAATTACCAGGCATATAAAGACAGCAGAAAATATTACTTATAATGAAGAAAAATATAAAGCCATGAACTCAATCCTGAAAATTACATAAATGATACAGTTATACAGAACCAAATTACAGATAGGTCACAGAAAAGGAAATTAAATGTTATTACTGTAAATGTTACTCAAAATGTTCAAAAAACTAGAGGAAAGACTGAACTTGAGACTTTCAATATATAAAAAAAGATTCAAAGTTCTGAAGATAAGA